GGTAGGTGGGGCCCCCCACCTCATCCACCCACCTCTGTTGCCCCTCATCTGCTGGCCCCTACTCTGAGGTTTCTGAGCTTGGGTTATTATGCAAATGAGATTTGATCTTGTGGAAAAGCTGTTGTCACGGAGACTAGATGCTGGAAGCCCCCAGGGTGGGAGAGAGAGAAGTTGTATCTCTTCCTGGGTCACTGGTCCTCACCGAGGGAGGAAAGGGGGTCCTGGCCCGCAGGAGTGACCCTTCCTCTTCATTTTCAGCAGATCAAGCCCAGAAGCCAAGATCCTGTCTCTGGTGAGAGGGAACTCCCAAGATGAGGATACTTACAGACGGTGGACCTCTGACAGCCCCTCTGGGGACTTGGTCTCCCAGGGCAGAGCCAGAGAGTCAGACCTCCTGCACTTTGGCAGCCTGCAAGTTTCTTCCCTGAGTTGAGCTTGCCCCACCCACTCCAGGACCCCAGAGCCTTATCAGAAAGTGCCCAATACTGTCCCCATTCCTTAGGACTAGGGAATCCTGGTAGGGTACATACTCCAGCCCAAGAATCTATCAGTCCAAGGAGCAAAGTTCATGTAGTCACTGAACTCCTGTCACCAGGGGAGGCTGGGTCATGATGGGCATTAGGAGAGGCCTCTGTCCAGGGATCCTGGGTGTCTCTGCTCCATGTATTTTAGCCAGACCCAGCTCCGTAGAGGCCAGTGACTGCCGGGCCAGAAGCCAGCTCTGGGGGCCCTACATTTCAGACAGAGTCCACTTCCCTGGAGCCTGGCCCCAGCAAAAACAAAAAACAAAAAAACAAAAAAAAAACCACCCAAACAAAATCCTTGGGACCCTCCTCTCTCCCTTTTCCTGCCTTATCTTGTCCCTCAGACACTTCCTCAGCCCCAGTTCTTGGTCCTCCACTTGAGGTTTTGGAGGAGTGTGGGGACTGCTGTAGCTTCCCCCCCACTTTGGACACTACTCAGCCTCTCTTCCATTCCATGGGAGGGGACAGTGGGAGCTGTTTTAAAAAGGACACCAAAGTAGAAGTCAGAAGAAAGACATGCTGCCTTTGAGCCTCTGTGAGTCTTTTCTGTATATAGATCCAACCCCATGGGGCTCCCTGAGGGTCCCAAGGGGTGGTAGCTGGTAGGTGGAGCCTCAGATGGCAGCCAGGGCCCCAAATGTATCTGGGATGGTGTTACCTAGCTGGAATGACCCCTTTGCCCCACCTCTTTTGCCTCCCTTGGAGATTCTGAGAAGCCACTTATTCTCTCCCCATGCTTCATGAAAGAATTGTTGGGTGACCTTCTGTATCAGTCAGCTGTTGCTGTATAACAAAACCACCTCCAAAACATAGTGGCCTAAAACAACTAATCCTGTGAATTGGCAAATTAGGTTTAACTCAGCGGGTGGTTCAGTTGGGCTCTTATGTTTGCAATCAGCTGCTGGTCAGTTGGGCAGTTCTGCTTCTGGGGTTGGCTGGCTGTTGGCTGGAGTGACGTAGACAAATGGGCTACGCACCCATTTTCCAACAGACTAGCTCAGGCTTGCTCACATGACAGCTGGGGAGGGCTCGAGAGAGCAGAGCAGGATTAGGGTAAGGCAGATGATGCACTTACCTTGAGCACAAAAGAAAGGCAATCAAAATAAGTAATATTTTAATGCAATATTTTAAAAGATCAAAATCAGTGCCAAAAAAATCAATTACGAACAAAATATCAGAATTTTAACTGAAGACCAGATCAGTGACAGTGTGATGCCAAGTCACATTGGAACCTGAGGCAGAAGGAAATATTTGTAATAGTGATCCTGTCTCACCCCAGTCCCAACCCTGCCGGAAAGTAAGTGGAAGCTTGCAAGGCCTCTAGAAGATTCTACGACTGGCACATTTTACTGCCATAACGCTCTATTGGCACAAGCAAGTCACAGGGCCAGCCCAAATTCCAGGGATTGGGAGAGAAACTCTACCTCCTGATGGGAAGAGCAGCAGAATCATGTTTCAGAGGGCTTGAAGACCTGGGGGAATTTTTACAACCAACCATTCCTGCCATAGGCAGCAGAGAAGAGGCAGCCCCGGGCTCGGACTGGCCCCTATTCCATCAGCCCCAGAGGTTGAATGAGACAGTTTTCTGAAGCTGCCTTGTCTTTTTTTTTTTTAAGATTTATTTGTTTGAGAGAGCAAGTGAGCAGGGGGATGGGCAGCGGGAGAGGGAGAGAGAATCTCAAGCAGACTCCCTGCTGAGCTTAGAACCAGATGCGGGGCTCTATCTCAGGACCCTGAGAACATGATCTGAGCTGAAACCAGGAGCCCCGACATTCAACCAACTGCACCACCCCGGGACCCCAAGCTGCCTTCTGTCTTAATTGTACCCATGAGATTTTGATTCATAACGAATACCTGAGTACTGCATGGAAAGGTTAATGCCACTGAAAGGAGTTACTATTACTTACAATTCCCAAGAAAAGGGGTCATGTCAGGCCATGCAGGGCCACATGGGGAAGCACGAGGTTCAGAGGGGAGGCAGAAGCAGGAGCGAGGGGGGGAGCCTATACTAAGGTTTCTGCAGGAAAGGCAAGGAAGGGCAAGATAAACCCCTCAGGACTGGCCAGCTGTGTGGTATAGGGGTGGTCTCTAATGGTCTGGTACTGGCCCTGTGATGATTTAGGGCAGGGCAAACATAGGCTTGGTAAGGGTTAGGAAAAAGGAGGTGGTTGGGGGTATGGACTCAGGATTGATTGGTCTGCATGTGAAAGACATATTCATAGGCAAATTTTCATGAACTCTAGGAATTAGGGTTAGAGGCAGTCTCTCCCCTAGTCAGCAAGCTCCCTCCCCTCCCACCCCCACCAAACCAAGATGTCAAACCATCATAAAATACAGAAAATAAAGAACATGATTGATACAGCTCCCCACACTCTCACACTTGGGAGGGGTGTCTGGATCCTATGGGACTCCCACTTATATTACATGTCTTTAATACTTAAAATTGCATGATAAAGAGAAAAAATTGCATGATAAAAATCGAATGATCAAAAATTGGGCATGCCATGAAAGCAGTACTTTGAGGAAAATTTATGACCATGGTATTTTTTTTTTTCAAAGAGAGCTGAAAGTCAGTGGGATAAAGGTCCATGTTAAGAAGTTAGAAGCCCAGGACCAGATGATTTCACTAATGAATTCTACCAAACATTTAAAGAAGAATTAACACCAGTCCTTTTCAAACTCTTTCAAAAAATTCAAAGAGGAGGGAACACTCCCAAACTCACTTTAGGAAACCAGCATTGCCCTGATACCAAAGCCAGATAAGGAAATAAAAAGAAATACAATACAAGGAAACTACAAACCAGTATCCCTGATGAGTACAGATGCAAAAATTCTCAACCAAATATTAGCAAAGTGAATTCAATAGCACATTAAAAGGATCATACACCATGATCAAGTGGGATTTACCCGAGATACGAGAGCGGTTTGACATATGCAAATCAATAAATGTGATACACCACATTAATAGATAAAAATCATATGATCACCTTAATAGATGTAGGACAAGCGTTTGACAAAATACCACATCCTTTCATGATAAAAACTCCAAAACACTGGCTGTAGGAGGAATATACCTCAGCATAACAAAGGCCAGATAATTAACAAACCCACAGCTGACATCATACTCACTGGTGAAGAGTTGAAAGCTTTCCCTTTAAGATCAGGAACAAGATAAGGATGCTCACTCCAACCACCCCCATAAAGCGCAGTGCTGGAAGCGTGAGTCGGAGCACTTAGGAAAGAAGGAATAAAGGACCTTCAAATCAGACAGGGGAAGTAAACTTATCTTTGTTTGCAGATGACATGATTTGGTTTTTTATTTTATTTTTTAAAAGATTTTATTTTTAAGCAATCTCTACACCCAATGTGGGGCTCGACCTTACAACTGCGAGATCAAGAGTCACATGCTCCAAATGAGCCAGCCAGGCGCTCAAATGACATGATTTTATATATAGAAAACCCTAAAAACTCCACCAAAAAAATGATTAGAACTAATGCCCGAATTTGGTAGTTACGGTATACAAAATCAACATACAGAAACCAGGTGTATTCTATTCACTGACAAATTATCTTTAAGAGAAATAAAACAATCCTATTTGCAATAGCATAAAAAATACTAAGGAATAAATTTAACCAAGGAGGTGAGAGACCTGTGCACTGAAAACTCAAGACTCTGATGACAGAAATTGAAGACGACACAAATAAATGGCAAGATATTCCGTGCTCATGAACGGGAAGAATTAACATTGTTAAAGCGTCCATCCTACCCAAAGCCATCTATGGGTTCAGTGCAATCCCTATCAAAATTCCAATGGTATTTTTCACAGAAATAGAAAAGATCATCCTAAAATTTGTATGGAACCACAAAAGATCCCGAATAGCCAAAGCCATCCTGAGAAGGATATATATAAGGGGAACACTAAACATTTTTGTTAGCAACTTTTCTTCAAGTCTAAGGTTAGTTAATAATAAAAAGTTAGAATTATAAAAGAAGGGAAAGAACAATGATGTTTCATAAAGGTAACAGTCTGGCATGGGAGACAAGGTCTCCTTAGGTTGGTGTGTGTGTGTGTGTGTGTGTGTGTGTGTGTGTGTGTTTTTCCACCTAGGCATGGGAGACAAGGTCTCCTTAGGTTGGTGTGTGTGTGTGTTTCCACCTAGGCATTTGCAGGTGCCGGATGTGTGTGTATGTGTGTGTATGTGTGCGTGCGTGTGTGTGTGTGTGTGTGTGTTTTCCACCCAGGCACTTGCAGGTGCCGGATTCTGTGGCTCCAGACCTACCTGAAGGCAGAGCCTGGGGTGGGGACTCAGTGGGGTGGGGCGTCATTCCCGCTACAAGGGCTCCTCCCCATGGGAGTGTTCGTGTTGGCACCAACACTCGGGTCCCCCCCCCATCAGCTCAGGCGCTGCTGGGAAGGGGACACTGGTCCCGCTGGGATTCTGCTTTCACTAGTCCTCCTCTGTTTGCTGCCCGGCATGGGCCTCTGCTTGGCGCCGGCAATGCTGCTGCTGTTGCTGGGTGAGTGGCCACCTCCTCCCCGAGACCCCTCAATGCTGGCCTCTCTGTCCAATCTTCAGGGACAGAGCGAGGGGGCAAGAGGATGATCTGGAAAAAACCAGAACCACAATAAGGGGCACCGGCATGAGACCTGTATATGGTGTGCCGGCACCCTGCAGCCGTGCAGCGTGCTGTGCAGGCCGCCACTCCCCACCCAGAAGTCCCGTCTTTGTACCCCAGTCCCAGAAACTTTTTCCTATTGGGTCCCCTCTCCCACCTCTCTTACCCTTCCCTCAGCCCCTACTCTCCATCTTCAGTCTTGGAGCTTCACACTTATTCCCTGGTGCCTCGCATCTGCTGTTCCAACTGCTTGGCTTCCCCTTCCCCAGCTGGGGCATCGTGGGGGGGGGTCACTTTACCGGGTGGAGTGGGGTGGGGAGAATGGAATCTGACAAAGGTGTAAGGCAGACGAGATACTGGAGCTGAGACGTGCTGTTTGGAGGGTAAAGATGAGGCAAGGGTACTCCTGGCAGAGGGAAACCCATAAGCAAAGGAGCAGAGGTGGGACCAAGACCTCAGGTGACACTACGTGCTACTGCTGTGTGGCTGAAGTCTGGGCACTTGAGGGGCTTGGCTGCGACAGAAGGGCAGAGTTAGCTGCTCCTGGGGTCCTGGAGGGGAGGGGAGGGGAGGAGACAGGAAGGGAGGGCTCCCCCCTCTCCTGTCTACCCTCCCCACATACTTACTCATCCTAAGCCCTTGGTATCTATTCATCCTGCCTGCACCCACAGAGAGAGAATCACCGTGGCTCCCGCCATCCTATCCGTGGATCCTGAAAGAGGGGGCCAGGGCCAGATGGGGACCCTGTTCCCAGACCTGAGGCAGGAGCCGCCTCCTTCCACACACCCAGTGAGAAGGATGTGGGGTTAGGCCGGAAAACTTCCCCAAGACTGTGGTGCTCCCAGGGGCTGAGAGCGCCGAGAGGGGCGGGGGTAGCCTGGTTTTGGTGACCCAAGTCCTAGGAAGGGGCTGCCAAATCCCAGCAGAGTGCCGCCTATCATGGACTCTTGAGCCTTGTGGCTCAGGACAGAGCCCTTGTGGCCTGACCTCTGGAGTCCACACCCTGGCAGCCAGGTCTAAATGGGCCCTCTAGTGCCCAGAGCTCCTTCGGGGAATCCCTCTTTTGCCTGGCTGATGGAGAGTGGAGGGGCCAGGGGAAGCCAGACTCCAGATGGGGCAACACGGGAGATGCACGAGAACGGAGCATCAGAAGGGAGTGGAAGGGCGAGACGCCCGCGGTAAGGGGCAGAAGGAGGCGCACGAGAAGGTCTGGGAGGAGGGAGACCCAGAAACCACTAGATTCACTCAAACGGTGTCTTTGGGGAAGGGAGGAGAAGAAAAGAAGAAAGCTCAGGTGTCCCAGCGTGGCCTCAACGCCGTTTCTGATACATGTCCATTAGCCAAGTCCCCAGAAGTCTTGCTCTGTTTCCCGCGTCAGGTGGGGCCTGTGAGAGTGGCAGGAGCCTCGCGGACCCCCTCTCTGAATGGGCGTGGCCGTTCTGCGGAAGGAGTGGTGCCTGGGGAGGATGGGCTTCAGCGTCTGGGGGAGGCCGGGCCGAGTCTTGGTGCGCCCCCTCTACCCGTGACGCGTAGCAGGACTGCCCAGAGCCGGCGGCCGCCCATCCGCGCGACAGAGGGCCGGTCAGTGCCAGTCAGTCACGCCTTCGAGCCACACTCCGCGCTCCGCGGGCTCCGCGCGCGCGCCGCATCTTCGGAGGGCGAAGCGCGCTGGAAGGGCTCGCGGAGAACTGCAGCTGCCCGCCCCTCCACCAGGGTCACCCAGCTCGGCCGCACGGAACCGATGCTTGGACGCGGCCGAGGCGTGCACGGCGGACGCGCGGTGCCAGCGGCTGCGCACCGAATACGTGGCTCAGTGCCTGGGTCGGGCCGCGTCCGGGGGCTGCCCCCGCGCCCGCTGCCGCCGCGCCCTGCGCCGCTTCTTCGCCCGCGGGCCGCCCGCGCTCACCCACGCGCTGCTCTTCTGCCCGTGCGTCAACGCCGCGTGCGCCGAGCGCCGGCGCCAGACCTTCGTGCCCGCCTGCGCCTTCGCGGGGCCCGGCCCGGCGCCGCCCTCCTGCCTCGCACCCTTAGACGCCTGCGAGCACAGCCGGATCTGCCGGTGCGGGGCGGGAGGGCGGGGGGGGGGGCTACGTGTGATGGGGCGGAGGCGGGGCGGGGCTGGGTCGCAGGTGCGAACCCGCTGTGGGAGCAGGCGGGGCGGGGACTGGGCGGGGATGGGCGGGGCCTCCCGCTCACCGCCCTCCGGTCGCGCCGCGCAGGCCCCGCCTCCTGGCCTTCCAGGCCTCCTGCACGCCCGCCCCCAGCGCCCCCGACGGCTGCCTGCAGGATCAGGCCCCCCGCTGCCTGCGTGCCTACGCGGGCCTCGTGGGTACGCGCTGCCGGGATCCGGGCGCGGGCTGGGGCTCTCCCGGGGATGCCTCCGCCTGGGTGGTCCGATTACCCAGCCCTCGGGGCCCCCGCAGGGACCGCGGTCACTCCCAACTATGTGGACAACGCGAGCGCGCGCGTGGCGCCCTGGTGCGATTGCGGAGCCAGCGGAAACCGGCGTGAGGAGTGCGAAGCCTTCCGGGGGCTCTTCACCAGGAACCGCTGCTTGGGTGAGGGGCCCGGGCGGGGCGGCGCTGACCGCCCCTTCCCAGGTTCAGGCTGGCGGCACCTTATTTTAGAGGTGAAGAATCAGGTTGTTTGCGGCAGCCACGCGGGTGCACAGCCCATCTGCTGTCGACCTGCCTCTCGAGACATACGCGCCCAGTTCTCTCCGGAGACCAGGTCACAGATCAAAGTAGGATCTTAGCGATGTCTAGGCTGGTGACCCTGCGGGCGGGCGGGCGGGGGGCAGTCAACACAAGTTTCCGAGTTCCTGGAACGCAACTAGGCAAAATTCTGGATCGCCATTAATGAGGCGGTCCCACCCGCAGGGCACTCCCAACGCCCCCATTGATGATCTTGCCTTTTGGGTCTGAATAAACTGGGTGGCCTGTGAAGTCCATTCTGCCACTTACCAGCCCAGAGTTAGTCAACTCCTTGAAGCTTTTTTTGTGCCCATCTGTAATATGGGGCTGCTAATCGTCGCCCTTCCCTGTGAGGATGAGTTTGTAAGGTACTAGTAGCACAGGTGTTCCTATTTTGTTATTCCTTGTCATGCACCTTCCATTCCAGAAGCCAGTCCTTGCAGATGTCCTATTCTCCCACCCTGCCGCAGGATGCCAGAGGTCCCTGTCCCTGAGGAGCTGGGCCTTGTGCTGGGGTTTCCCAGCCTAGCCCACCCTGGACCCCTTCCTCCTTAGATGGTGCCATACAGGCCTTTGATGCTGGGTGGCCTCCAATCCTGCAGGACCGGCCAGATGTCCACCAGGATCCTGAGCACAGCCTCCTGCAAGTAGGTGTAGGGAGGGGATGGTGAGCTGGCAGCCCCTGCACCGGCTCCTTCCGCACACTTCCATTCCAGGTGGGCCTAGATGAAGGCATGAGTGGCCTGGGATGGAGGTGGTGGAGGCAGAGAGCAGAACCCAGCTTCTGCCTCAAGTCCACATTCTGCTCCCACCCCCAAGGTGTCCTCTGCAGATGGGCTCCTGGTTGGAAGCTCCCTGCTCTCCATGCTCCCTGTCCTGGCTCTGCAGCCCCTGCTCTGACTAGGACAGCTGACCTTGGACAACATCACTGTCCCATCCTGCCTGGGGTACAGGGCCCCATCTGCACCCTAGTGCCCCACTGAAAGTGGACTGGCTTGCCTCCCAAGCTGGTCCCAGTGCTCTTGCCCTGCCGCCCTTTTTAGGTCTGGACACCCTGTGTGCCTGTCCCGTAGAGTGAGGGATGTGGGCTGAGGGCCTGATGCAAAGCCCATAGTTTCCCTTTCAGTGGGTTTCTTGGTTGTAGGTCCCTCTCTCCCCTGACCTTGGAACAGTTGGGTTCTCCCACAGGGTAGGGATGGGAGGGGGTCACCTGCGTAGCTGAGGCCTCACTGGGGCCCCAGATCACCTAGAAGTCAGAAACCATCCAAATTCCCAGAATTTTAAGAGCTTTTACCAGCTTCTCCAAACAGAACATGCCCTGAGGAGTACATCTGAATAGACTTCAGGCAAAACGCTTTTGAACGCTGCAGCCTTTCATCTAGGCCCCACTGACTAACGTTGGTAAGGTTCTTCCCAACCATGATACACTGCTTGGTGGGCACCACCTGGAGTGAGGATCCAGTCCCCTGCGTTGCACTGGTCACATGACATCTTTCCTATGGTTTAACCTAGCACTACGAATGGCATTCATAGCTCAATAAACCCACATGCACTGAGATTGGCCTTGCTTTCATGTGATCTGTCCTGGGAGCCTGGAGACCAGGTCAGCCACAGTGGGGTATGCCTCTGCTGGCCTGTGTGACCTCAGATGGTCTCAAAACCAACCTGGGCTACATCTGCACACCTACGAGCCCAAACTGAATCAACTATTAGATCCTGGTGGCAGAGATTTCTGCGGTTTGTCTTCTTTGCTAGTACTCAGATTCAAAAACTATGCTTCCCAGCCTCCGTTGCAGCCAGGAGGTGGTTATGGGACACAGTCCTGGTCATAAGTGGAAGTCACAGATGAGGCTTTCAGGAGAGTTCCTGAAACAGGAGAAGACTTGTTGACTGGACTCTTCAGCCTTTAGCCTCCTCTCTCTTCTTCTTGCCCAGAACTTGATGGCCATGTCTGGGGACATGGGTGCCATTTTGAAAATGGAGCCACGTGACATTGTGGAGCCACTGTCCCAGCCTCCATCTGCCTCCCTCTAGACTCTTCATTATATGAGAAAAATAATACCTTTAGTTTGTTTAAGCCAGTTTCTCCACAGACATCTGCCATTTGCAGCCAAGCATAGTCTCTGATTGTCTCACTACCACTTCTGGGGTGCCAGGGGGCCCCGGGATCACTTAGGAGACCCCCTCCTCAGTGTGCACAAAGCCCAGCCCTGACACACACTTTAGAGTGGTGGTCATTTTGTTGTTGTTATTTCCACATATTCTGCCTGCTTCTGTCCATGTGGAGAGTCGAATTCTTTCCTGGAGTCTAGGGAAATGTGTCCTGTTTTCACAAGCACTTGTGTGTGGCCAGTGTGGACCCGCGCATGCCAGGGGCATTGTGTTGATGTGCAGTTCTGTGAAGGTGTTCGGGAGGAGAAGGCAGAACAGTGGCGGCCGAGTACGAAGTCTTCTGCCCGCTTCCTTCGTTCTCAAGAGCTTGGAGACGCTGATGAGTGAAGGGTTACAGAGTCTCCGGGCCACTGCTTCTCAAAGCTGGCTGAGGCTTGTCAGGGGCCACGAAACTGATGGAAGGGCATGTTGTTGGCGCCTTGCTCAGAGACTTCTCTGGGCCAAGCTGCTGGGGAGGTTGGGTGCTAACACCGCTCCCAGCTGCCCCCCTCTCTAGAAGAAATGCCTGTAAAGTTACCCTCTGCTCCCTGAGGTAGCCTGCAGCCATGGGGCGGAGCGGCGGTTCTGTGCACCATTCATGCTCCAGAGCTCCCTGTGGGATGGAGCTGAAGCTAGATCCCGGCTGAGACCACAGCCTAGCACCTTCCCCTGCCGGCTCCTGCCTCCCTCACTCAGAGGTTCCCCTGAGGGTACTCCCTCTCATAAAGCATCCTGAGAATCTCTGTCTTGGGCTCAGTTTCTGGAGAACCTGACCTTAGACACAAGGGTTCAGTGCAGATCCCACCAAAGCCCAGGCCTGGGGCTGTCCTGCCCAGAAAAAGCCACTGGCTCTGAGACTCTGATTTCAGCACTCAGAACAAACCCACAGACACCACGTGCAGCAACTATCAACCAGCCTGGCCGCTCCAGCCAGTAATCTTATCGGAGCCAAACAAACACTGACCAGACGTGCTGGGGTAGGCAACTGAGCATCTGGCTTCCGGCACAGCTGCGTCTGGGGGTTTGAGTGCTGGTGGCCCCGTTGGTCTACACATGGCTTCCTCCGTGGCCAGGCAGGCTCTCTCACTGCAGGGTGGGCAAGAGCCGTCCACAGCTGCACAGCTGCGGTCTCTCCTTTTAGGAACCTCAGCAGAGAAAGGCACCTCTCTTTCCCATCATCCATGGACTGAGTCAGGCAGGACCCCAGTAGGCCGAGCGTGGGTCATAAGCCTCTTTCAGTCGGCCCACAAAGATCACATGGAATGGGAAGGACAGTTCTCCAGAGGAAGAGAAGGGTAGGTGCTGGGCAGAGGGAAGCTCTGAGGCCAGCCTCTTCTCACTTCACGAAGAAGGAATGTTCTCGACTCTCTTCACCTGCATGGGAATGAGCACCTGTTTGTGGGCTGGGGAGAGGCTGTTTATGTGGGCTGGGAGCTGCGGCGGCGGGGTGAAAGCTGTTCACTGTGATGGCTCGGTGGCCCAGATGAAGGATTATGGGTCTTCTGCATGATGGGCCGCAGCTGCCGGTGTGTTAAACTCTAGCACTTCATTTTTTAAAATTTATTTATTTATTTATTTATTTAATCTCTACACCCCACGTGGGGCTCGAACTTGAACTCACAACCCCAAGATCAAGAGTCGCGTGCTCTACTAACTGAGCCAGCCAGGCGCCCCCATCACTTCATTTTTTTTTTTTTAACTCCGGTAATTAGAGTAAAATATAGGCATATACCTTTCAAAAGATTGCGAGGATGAAAAAAAGAGCAGCACCTAGTTGAAAACAGTGGCCCTGTGGCTGTCTCCCCTCCGTACTTCTCTCCAACTCAGGTGCGAGCTTGAACCAAATAGAGCCACTTTAACATCAGACAGCGTGCCGCGGAAAGGAGGCTTCCTTTTTTTTTTTTTTTTTAAGATTTTATTTATTTGACAGAGAGAGAGAGACACAGTGAGAGAGGGAACACAAGCAGGGGGAGTGGGAGAGGGAGAAGCGGGCTTCCCACTGAGCAAGGAGCCCGATGTGGGGCTCGATCCCAGGACCCTGGGACCATGACCTGAGCCGAAGGCAGATGCTTAACGACTGAGCCACCCAGGTGTCCCTTACTGGGAGCTGCAGGAAAACGACAGGTCTCAGGGCTCCTGCTTTCTGGCTCTCTGTTCTTCCCCCGAGGGAAGGGAACATTCCCTTGCGGGAGGCTTGCAGCCATTTGGGGCGTGGCCCCGGACAGCTCTGAAGACAGAAGCCAAGAGGAGGGGACCGGGCACCGTGGCTTACAGAGGCCACCCTCTGGCCACCCCCGGGCCCGCTGACTTTCTGAGGGTTTTGTTGCTAGAATGGGATGAATGGCAGCCCCAAAGCTATGTCCACATCCTAAGCCCTGGAACCTGTGATTGTTACCTTAGATGCCGGCAGAAGAGTGAACGTTACCTAATGTAGCAAAAGATGTGATTAAGAATCTGGGCAGGAGGAGCTTATCTTGGATTATCCGAGCGGGGCCCTAAATGCAGTCCCGTGCATCCTTAGAGGCAGGGGGAGATCGGAGAGGTGATGTGAGGACAGAGCAGAGATAGGAGCCGGCGGCCACCAGAAGCTAGAAGAGGCTGGGAATGGGTTCTCCCCAGAGCTTCTGGAAGGGCCGCAGGCCCCTCAACACTGAGATTCCGGACTTTTGGCCTCCAGAACTGTAAGAATGAATTTCTGTTTTAATACGCCGAGGTTGGGGAATTTGTCACAGCAGCCCCAGGAAGCCAAGAGTTGTTGGAGTTCAGTTTCTGTCACTTCTACCTGAAAAGGTCTGCCTCATACACGGTGTTAAGTCTGGCCAGACACCTCAAGGCTGAGTCCCGCCGCGGCCCCCGTGACCAGGAATGGGTCCTGCCCTGTTCGTCCACATCTGCGTGTCGGCCTCCGTGTCCTTCCAGGTAGTCCTGGCTCTGGCCTCATCCCCGTGACTGGGCCTCTCCTGGCTGCTGTCAGCACTGAGCCTCTAGCCGGCAGGTGGCTGCAGGCGGGGGAGGGAGTCAGGCAGAAAGGCAGGTGCTAGAAGCATCCATGGATTTATGGGTGGAAACTTCACGGCTCATGAATGTCCACTCTGGCTTGGGGCCTGTTGTCTAGGTGCAGGGTTGATATGGAATCTGCCTGTTGCCCCCTCCTGCCCTCTCCGCCCCATAGCTGAGTCAGGCAGCGCCAAACTCCCAGCAGCAGCTCATTTTTAGAGGAAGCGTGGCCATCATTCGGTTAGATTTCCAGAGTAGCAGGAGGACAGGGGCCATGTGGGGCTTCAGGAGACATCCCCCAGCTGGACAGCAACTTGCCGGCGAGCTCGGCATGCGTGTGACAGGAGGCAGAGCTGTGGCCCTGTCTTGCTGGCCTTCAGGCCCTGGAAGGCGTGAGTTGAAGGATGTCTTGGGAAGCTGTTCTGCCAAGAATATGTCACCCCACACTCAAAGGGGCCTCCAGTCCAAGGCAGAAGTTACAGAGAGAATAATTAAGCTGAGTACACACCAGAACAAAATACACAACCTCAGAAGCTGAGCCCTCAAGGGATGAGGATTAAGCAAATGAGGAAGGGCCTACTGGGTGTGCAAATGGGCCCCGAGCCAGGCTGTCTCTGGCTCCCCGTGCAGGACGTCAGGATGTTGCATATGGTCAGCAGGTCTTCCGGTCTGTTCCCTTCTTGTGTTGGCGACACAGGACAGAAGGGAATTCTTGTCAGGCATGTTACCCGGCTAGCAACATGAGGCTGCAG